TTATGTGGCGAATCGTCAGTGTGGCGAATCGTTACTAATTCGTTCAAATAGCCAAACAATACTTAGCAATTGTTCATTTATGATTAATAATCTTGCATTGATACCGTGTTTATTAGTTTGAATCACTGGGGTCCGATTCCTTGAATCTTGTTTGTTTAAATGTTTTAATACGATCACGAACTTTATTTTTTCTATTTCCAACCTGAACCTTTGGATACTGCAGGGTCTAATTAAGGAAATTGACACCTGGAATATATATGTTGCTTTAAATATAGACACATGGATTATAGCCCGACATGCTAAATCATGGCTGCACAATTGGGCAGACCTGGCATTTTCACCAGTATGTAACACATTGTGATGTCATTAAATTTGAGTTTATATTAATTAATTAATTAGTAATTGTGTTACAGACTATCAATATAGACCAATTCACTTTAATAGGAGCATCTAAAGATTTTCACATGTTTTAAGTTTAACCTTCCATTACTGGTTACGTTGTTTTTTTCCAGAAAGGGTATATCCCAGTCAGCACTCCCTTACAGACGATCAGTTCCAACAGTAAGTAGAAAGCTCTTTAATAAAACATATGAATAATGAAGACTGGTTTTAAAATAACATTCATTTTTAAAAAAAAAAAGGAAGTGGCTAGCCGTACGGCTAGCCAAAAGTTCTAGCCGTACGTGAGTCACGTACGACTAGCAAGGACACACTGTATTGGCAAGCCGAATTAGATTTAAGTCGAAAATGCATATGTTATTTTATGACTTTAAGCGAGGATTTTTAACCAAGAAACAGCAAATGTCTTCGTATGTTTACTTTTTAGAAATTTATCTCCTTGTTGGCTACCTGAGGTCCCGGGTTCGATCCTGGGTTACACCCTTGGGATTTTTCAGAGACACTTTCAGTGTTTCCCACCTACATAGAGGTGTACAGTGTAACTTCCGAATTCCGGAACTTCTGAAATCCGGAAACTTCTAAAAACCGAACAATTTTTTTGGTCCCGATTTTTTCTCTTCTATTTTCTATTAATATATTACTTCTGAATTCCGGAACTTCTAAATTCTGAATTCCGGACGATATTTTCGTAAAATTAGAGTCAAATCAATGCAATTTTACCTCCGAAAACCGGAAATGTCCAAAGGTGTGAAATACATTGTAAATCGAGAATGTTTACCCTGCAGGAAGATTTAATCTCCCTATCGATTGTTTACTAATTAGCGGTGATCGTGTAATTTGACACGCGTTAAAATCACAAACTGTGAAATGGTATGTTTGAAGTGATGCGGTTAATCAAAGTAATTTACTGCGGTCAGTTAATTTGAATTGTTTATTAGCGGATTAAATCACAATGAGTTGGGACAATGTATGTATCAAACGTCTTTAGGGATTTTATTGCATTTGATGTAATAATTAATTAACTAGCATCGGACGATATGTAAGTTTTTGGAATTAACAACATTTCTACAAACTGATAGAAATTCAAAAGCATTTGCAGGTGTAAGATAAAAATGTATTATTTTCATTCACATCTTTATCTTGATTAAAAGACTATTATATATGATATTACAGTAATGGCCACATCTTCCTTGACATTTAGTGATATTAAGTGGCTTAGTCTTGTCCACATTTTCATAAACCTCTGAATTCCGGAAACCTCTGAAATCCGAACTTTTTGACAAGTCCCATGGGTGTTCGGTTTTCGGAAGTTACACTGTACTGGTAAGAAATCCAGGAAATCCTCGCATGTATCAGTGCTATACACTGGGCATGTAAAAGAACCAAGGGGTCTATTCAATAAGAGCTAGGGACTGGTTCCCGGATTCCCTTGTATCTTAAAGCTGTTTCTTAAATGTATACAATGTATACCTGCCTGTAACACTCGTAAGAGGGGTTGGCAGTATCCAGAGATAGATAGATAGATACAGTAAATAAAGTACGAATATAATATTCTTTGTCATCTCAAGACGTTGAGAAAAAAAAAAGCGTTTGGTCGCAGTTAAATAACATCAATTGAAATACATGTAGTTTACAAGATATTGATTATAATCCGTTTTTGTCTCATTAAGTTTAATTTTCGACACCTTTAAAATGAAAAAAATATTGTTGTTGGGCTCTGATTATTGCGTCAATTACCGACCGTATAGAAGTTTGTCCATCATTAAAGAAAGTTTGCATGTTCCGTGAAACGCATTTTAAAATTCTATTGTCAGTCCCTGGGTAGGCTTTAATTAAGGCTTATTAATTGATTGTGCTTTTATGTTCGATATTTATCTACTGTATTTGAAAATTATACAATTATTTTTGCTTTTCACCATTTTTTTTTCAATGTTCTTTTTATTTATTCCACTCCGATCATTATTTATTCGATCCATGTGCTTAATTAACAAAAATTCACCTTTCATACAAATAAAACAACAAATCATAATCATGAGGCACAAAATAACATATGCATGTTCGACTTCCATATAATTTTGAAAAGTGCCGTACGGCTAGACAATACAGTGAGTCCTGGCTAGTCGTACGTGACTCACATACGGCTAGAACTTTTGGCTAGCCGTACGGGCCCGTACGGCTAGCCACTTCCAAAAAAAAAACATTTTTTAATTCGTATTCAACATTTATTTGATTGGATTGGAAAATCATGAGAATATTTGAACATCAAAGCCATTTTTGAAGCAGCACTCCCGCTCAATTTCAAATGTAAGAATATATGCACTCCCTGTCATTGAAAAATTGGGTGTACATTTCAAAATTTACAAGTACATGTGAAGCTCAAACATGTTGAAAGAGTTTAGGTAAAACAGTCCAAGGCTTTACATTGTATTTTGTTCATTAAAAAAGTCATCCTGTTTACATCTTACAAAAAAATATTTCCAGCATGCAAAGTTTTTCATTATTTCAGTGGTTGAAACTGACATCAGAAGATGTTCAAGAACAGATTTTTAAGCTGGCAAAGAAAGGATTGACTCCTTCACAAATTGGTAGGTAGCATTAATTATCTGTGCGCTTAGAAAATAATTTTGTTGTCCTACCTTTTAAGATTGATACACTAAGGAGGGACTGTGTCGTAGAGTATAGTAAAGATATTCAAGTCTGGGTATTTCTTAGTTTAAATCAAATACTTCTCACCCCAGGGTTCTAATTCTGCCAGGCTCTTGGATTTTTTTCTTGCAAGAAGCAAGAAGATTGTAAGTAATTCACAGATAAGTTGATGGGTTGGGGAGTTCAGAGTTTAAATCATACCTGGGGCTGTGAAATTCTTCCATGTTAAGAATCTAGTTACAGGTCAGTGCTTCAAAGCCTGGTATAATTACAGTTACCTATTGGTTATACCAGAACTTTGCTATATTTTCAAACTCAACTGGACTGAAATAAGATTGTAAATTAGGGTTTTTGTTTGACTCGCTCAGAATTTAAGCCAGTTTTGTATTAAAAGCAAATGTGAAGTGTATTAAGCAGTCTAATTCTTGGTAAGACTTATTAAGATCTTGTAATTATTTTACCATTGTTCTGTAATTCAGTTCAATTAAAAAAGTAAGTATAATTAAGTACAGAACAGAGTTAAATTATTATGAACTTTCCTTAAATTTATTTCTGGACTAATTTGTGCCAAAGTTGTGCTCTTGACAAGGAAATGAAAAATATCTGTGGTTTATTATAGGTGTGATTTTGAGAGATTCTCATGGTGTGGCCCAAGTGAGATTTGTCACTGGAAACAAAATTTTGAGAATCTTGAAGGGAAAGGGTCTTGCATCGGACATCCCAGAAGATCTCTATTACCTGATCAAGAAAGCCGTCAACATCAGAAAACATTTAGAAAGAAACAGGAAGGTACATTCATTTAATGCATATGAATTACAAAATGACAGATGATGCATATAGATGGTATTTCAATTTATTCGTCTACATTCAGCATTTAAAGCAGCATTTTCAGGATTCCCTCTGGGTCAAAATTAGTTTGCGCCACCAAATTCGCCAATCAGAAAAAGTTGGAGCCAATGGCTCCAAAGTTGGAGCCAATGGCTCCAAAGTTGGAGCCAATAATTCTGCAAGGGAGACATGCCTATCTTTGCTAAGATATGCTAGCAGTTATATATCATTATGATTACAAACACATATTTATAATATTTCATTTTATTACAGCTGCACATGTTTATTATCTAAAATATAGACATATTATTATGTGGTTTTCAAATTCCATTTAAATAAATACACATGACAGCATAAATGTAATCAAAAACATCATGTTAAGTTAGTCATGGGAGGTCCTGTTTTCCACCGTTTTGCCAGTATAGCAGTTCTTCTCACAGGCTGGACTGAGCCAAGATCTTTCCCAGCTTCTACCCGACAATCTGGTGATCTACAGATACAAAATAAAAAAAAAAAACATTACTATAAATTGACTTCATCTAAAAATCAATGAGAACAAAAAATGAAATAAATACTAAGTATTTTTAACAATGAAAAATATTGTTTATTTTAATAGGGTTTGCATGTGAATAGACACTTCAGCACTTTACATTCAGATATGAAAATATTAACATTGCAGTAAACAGTGGCTTTAGATCAATCATTAGTGAAATTATTCTTTTAATTGTCATCCGATTTAATATTCAAACTGTAATTATTTTTAATCAGTTGACGAGTCAACTTACCTAAAGTTCAATGTTTGTCAACATCACGGACGATCTTTCACTTCTCTGTTCGCTACTAACACCTGTTGACCACACATGTAGTTATCAGTGAATGAAAGACGTAAATTGTTCCAATTAACACATTGACACTTTCATCTTCACATGTTCCCGAAGTGTCACACAATTGATGACATAATTGATTATACGGTACCCGATTATACAGTTTATAAACAAACTAATACTGTGTGACCTTTCACATTTAGGCCGCTTATGTAATTGATGCGGCCGCTTATGACATTTAAGTGTACTAGTTGTCGGATGCTTTTATCTTACGTTGGCGCCAGTTAAATTCGCCAATTAAAAGATTTTATGCGCCAGAATTAATATTTTGTCGCATTGGCGAGTGACAGCGGGAACCCTGATTTTTTGTTTCACCCATTTTAGAGTCTTTGCTAAAATGCCTATTTTTGCAGCTTTGAGAAGTGAAATATTTTTATTCTTGCTTAATGTTTTTGTTGCAAAAATAAATTCTAGATCACTTTAATTACCTAAGTTTTTTGTTTTGAAATGTTGCAGATAAGAGAAATTTGCCTATAACTATACAAATATAGGCAACAGTCCACTGCAAAACATGAGTGACCTGGTCTTTGTGGGATTTTGTCAAACTTTCATGGTTATAGGAGGAGTCCTCCTTTAACTGTTCAATTTTGTATTACATCTCAATATAAACTATCTGTCTCCCTGAAGTAGTATGACATTGTGCCAAAATGTAGTTCAGTATTCAGACTGTAAAAGCAACATTGTAACCACTGTACTGATTTCATCAATGTTATTGGAGCTGATTAGCCAATAGAATTTACACGTCTGATTGAATCTATGCATTTGGAATTGGCAAATTGGAAAAAGTAAAAATTGATATGCTGTAGAAAGCATTTGATTTTAGTCAGTATTAGTTAATTGAATACTTGTATTAGTTCATAGCACAGCATACCATAACATATCTAACCATAGCACTGAACCATGGTCAACAAATGAAGTAAGTATGAAATTTTTATTACTACAATGTAATATTGTTAACTTTCAGGACAAGGATGCCAAGTTCAGACTGATTCTTGTAGAGAGCAGAATTCACAGATTGGCCAGATACTACAAGACCAAGAGAGTTCTGCCACCAACCTGGAAATAGTAAGTTCTGCTCCCTTAAATTACCACACATAAGTATGTTGCTCTTTGTTAATATGATGTAAGAAAAGTTGGTTGTCCTACTATAGCCAACGCCCATGGTGTAACACTTGGATAAGGTTTTACATTAAAATGTATAACTTGTTAACTCGGTGTAACACTTTGATAAGGTTTTACATTATAATGTATAACTTGTTAACTCGGTGTAACACTTTGATAAGGTTTTACATTATAATGTATAACTTGTTAACTCGGTGTAACACTTTGATAAGGTTTTACATTAAAATGTATAACTTGTTAACTAACTGAATGTTCACTTGAAACTTCAATCATGTAGATCGGTCTCCAATAACTAGATTTGCATGGTTATATAATATCACTTTGAACCACTGAAATTATTCACACATCTTGAGGTTCATGTTTTAGATGGTCTTATTTTAAGCTTGCAGACAAAGGCCTTTAAGTTGAACATTGGTAGTGAATGTACATAATTCCTGCTTGGCTTTTGTTTATTATTAAACTAAGTGTTTAGTATGGAGTGTAGATTGCTACACTATTGGCAGCTTGAGTTCTGCACTGGTACTTAAAAAACTAAAGTTGATATATGAAGAAAAGTTCGACATTATTATACCTTTCGTACATTAACAGAATAGTGTCAAAAAAATTTGTCTTAATATGGTAACAGTAAACTTACATGTTGTCATTGGAACAGTGTCTATTTTTGGACAGGGGATGGGGAGATTCACTCATACTTTTGAGAATTCCCATTTATTTTTTCAGAGGCAGCGGGGAAATTTTACATAGAAAAAGATCAACAAATGTATTAAATAATATCTCACTTTTAAATAAAAATCCACCCTGTTTTTCAAATCCTAGAAAAGACACTGTTGGAACCAAAAAAATTATATCCAACACGATTATCCGAAGATAATTCAAAGTACTGGGACTGAAAATAGAATTAATGTTATAATATCTTTAAATATGATAGTTTGTTTCAGGATAAGTATTAAGATGACTGTTCACAGAAAGTGATATTGCAGATTATTTCTGATTTATTTCATGGTTAAAAGTAATATTATTTATGTGAATTGTTGCCAAGATTCTATTCATGACTTAATGTTTGTTATTTACAGCCAATCCGCCACTGCTGCAGCTATGGTACAGTAAAAGACTTTATAGTTGTCGTACCTTGTACAGTCTCTCTAAATAAATGAAAAAAATCTGAACATTGTTGATTGTTATATAGTGTTGTGTTGTCCAAGACAATTTTGTAACCTACTGAGTCTGCTGAAATAAGTGACACTCAACTGAAATGGGTCTAAAAATGTGACTGTTCCAGTAACAAACTACTAGGCATCCATGTGTGCCTTTTTTAGCTCACCTGTCACAAAGTGACAGGGTGAGCTTTTGTGATCGCTTTTCGTCTGGCGTCAGTCCGTAAACTTTTGCTTTAAATGACATCTCCTCATAAACCACTGAGCCAATTTCATCCAAACTTCACAGGAATGTCTCTTTGGTGGTCACCTTTTAGAATTGTTCAAAGAATTTAATTCCATGCAGAACTCTGGTTGCCATGGCAACCAAAAGAAAAATCTTTAAATATCTTCTTTTAAACAACCCTAAGAGCTAGAGCTTAGATATCTGGCATGAAACATCTTCTAGTGAGTGTCTACCAAGTTTGTTCAAATAAAAGCCCTGGGGTCAAAATTGGCCCCGCCCCAGGGGGTCATTGATTTTCCCTATATGCATATAGTAAAAACTTGAAAATGTTCTTTTAAAGAACCCAAAGAGCTAGAGTTAAGATATTTGGCATGAAACATCTTCTCGTGAGTGTCTACCAAGTTTGTTAAAATAAAAGCCCTAGGGTCAAAATTGGCCCCGTCCCGGGGGGGTCATTGATTTTCCCAATATGCATATAGTAAAATCTTAAAAAATCTTTTAAGGAAAAAAAATCTTCTTTTAAAGAACCATAAGAGCTAGAGCTTAAATATTTGGCATGAAACATCTTCTAGTGAATGTCTACCAAGTTTGTTCAAATAAAAGCCCTGGGGTCAAAATCACCTATGCCCCAGGGGGTCATAGATTTTCCCTATATGCATATAGTAAAAACTTAAAAAATCTTCTTTTAAAGAACCCAAAGAGCTAGAGCTAAGATATTTAGCATGAAACATCTTCTAATGAGTGTCTACCAAGTTTGTTCAAATAAAAGCCCTGGGGTCAAAATTGGCACCGCCCCAGGGGGTCATTGATTTTCCCTATATGCATATAGTAAAAACTTAAAAAATCTTCTTTTAAAGAACTCAAAGAGCTAGAGCTAAGATATTTAGCATGAAACATGTTCTAATGGGTGTCTACCAAGTATGTTCAAATAAAAGCCCTGGGGTCAAAACTGGCCCCGCCCGGGGGGGTCATTGATTTTCTTTAAAAGTGTATAGCAAAAACTTAAAAATCTTCTTTGAAAAAACCCAAATAGCTAGAGTTTAGATATTAAGCATGAAACATCTTTAAGTAAATATCTACAAAGTTTGTTCAAATAAAAGCCTGGGGGTCAAAACTGGCCCTGCCCCAGGGGTGTCATTGTTTTTTACTATATGTGTATAGTAAAAACTTAAAAAATCTTCTTTTAAAAAATCCAATGAGCTAGAACTTAGATGTTTAGCATGAAACATCTTCTTATGGGTGTCTACCAAGTCTGTTCAAATAAACAAATATAAACCCTTGGGTAAAAATTGGCCCGGGGGGGGGGGGGGGGGGGGGGGGGGGCTATATACAGGTGAGCGACTTCAGGGCCATCATGGCCCTCTTGTATGCTAGTTGGCATGTACAGCTAAAAGTGCTTCAGCGAGTCGGCAAACTTTAGCATGTGAAATTGTTCACATTGGGAGGGTTTTGACGTGTGGATTAATCAAGTTTTGTCAGAGTTTTTGCCCTTCACTTACTAAACATTTTCTATCTTACTTGTGTGATGCCAGCTCAATAAGTATTGGACATGAAAGATTACAGGTCTTTGGTCTGCATATGAAATTATACACACGACTGAGTTTTTTCGTGGATTTATTCAGTATTTGTAGAGTTAGTGCCCTTTTATAGTTAAAAATTAAAAAGATCAGGTGTAGGTCAAAAATATATTTGATTCATAGTCGAGAAAAATTATTCTTGTAAAAATTTACCCAAACTTGAAATTGCAGTGCTATTCACTCTTGAGAAAATCGCACATTTACTATTTTCATTATTTTTAGCTCACCTGTCACAAAGTGCCAGGGTGAGCTTTTGTGATCGCTTTTCGTCCTTCGTCAGTCCGTCTGTCCGTAAACTTTTACTTTAAATGACATCTCCTCATAAACCACTAAGCCAATTTCATCCAAACTTCAAAGGAATGTTCCTTTGGTGGTCACCTTTAAAAATTGTTCAAAGAATTTAATTCCATGCAGAACTCTGGTTGCCATGGCAACCAAAAGAAAAAACTTTAAATATCTTCTTTTAAAAAACCTAGCTAGAGCTTAGATATTTGGCATGAAACATCTTCTAGTGAGTGTCTACCAAGTTTGTTCAAATAAAAGCCCTGGGGTCAAAATTGGCCCCGCCCTGGGGGGGTTGTCATGATTTTCCCTATATGCATATAGTAAAAACTTATAAATCTTCTTTTAAAGAACCCAAAGAGCTAGAGCTAAGCTATTTAGCATGAAACATGTCTAATGGGTGTCTACAAAGTTTGTTCAAATAAAAGCCCTAGGGTCAAAATTTGCCCCGCCCCGGGGGTCATTGATTTTCCTTATATGTGTATGGCAAAACTTAAAATCTTCTTTGAAAAAACCCAAATAGCTAGAGTTTAGATATTAAGAATGAAACATCTTCTAGTAAGTGTCTACAAAGTTAGTTCAAATAAAAGCCCTGCGGTTAAAACTGGCCCCGCCCCAGAGGTGTCATTGTTTTTAACTATATGTGTATAGTAAAAACTTAAAAAACCTTCTTTAAAAAATCCAATGAGCTAGAGGTTAGATTTGAAGCATGAAACATCTTTTTGTTGGTGTCTACCAAGTTTGTCCAAATGAAAGCCCTT